CTTTTAACACATTCCACTGAAATGAACAAACTACTGTATTTTAAAGTTACTCTTCTGTATAGTCATTGCCACAAACTTGATATGTTTGTTTCAGTTTGTTTTGAAAATCTAGCAATTGCTTTTTAATTTACTCTTGCCTTGTAATTATAGAAAATATTTACATAGTTCCATATTCTAAGCATTGCTCTGAGTATAACTGGATCATCCTATTAAAGCCTCAACAATCTTATGAGGTAGGTACTACTATGATCTACTTACAGATAAGAATTCTGAGGTATAAACAAGGTAAAGTAACTAATTCAGAGGCACAAAACTAATAGGTGATAGAGGCAGAATTCCACTGTGACAGTCTACCTGCTTTATTAAATCGTAACTAAAACAGTATGGTATTGGTATGATATGGATAGGCAAATAAATGAATGGAAGAGAGGGCCGAGAAACAGACACCTAAATAATTAAAAGAAACTGGGGGCCGGGTGTGGTGGCTCAAGCCTGTAATCCCAGCACTTTGGGAGGCCACGGCGGGTGGATCACTTGAGATTAAGAGTTCAAGACCAGTCTGGCCAACATGGTGAAATCCCCGTCTCTACTAAAAATACGAAACTTAGCCAGGCATGGTGGCGGGTGCCTGTACTCCCAGCTACTTGGGAAACTGAGGCAGGAGACTCGCTTGAACCCAGGAGCTAAAGGCTGCAATGAGCTGAGATCATGCCACTACAATCCAGCCTGGGTGACAGAGCAAGACTCTATCTAAAAATTTAAAAAAAAAAAAAAGAAAGAGAGAGAAAGTGGAATTCATTGGTGTTTTTTGTTTTTGTCTTTGTTTTGGTCTTTAAAAGAAGTGGATTACTTGGGCACAGTGGCTCATGCCTATAATTCCAGCATTTTGGGAAGCTGAGGCGGCCAGATCACTTGAGGTCAGAAGTTCAAGACCAGCCGGGCCAATGTAGTAAAACTCCGTCTCTACTAATAACACACCACACACACACACACACGCACGCACGCACGCACGCACGCACGCACTCACGGCTGGGTATAGTGACATGTGCCTATAATTCCAGCTACTCGGGAGGCTGAGGCACAAGAACTGCCTGAACCTGGGAGGCAGAGGTTGCAGTGAGCCGAGATCGAGCCACTGCACTTAGCCTGGAAGACAGAGTGAAACTGCGTGTCCTTTTTTTTCCTCCTTGAGTCTCAGAAATTGTGTCTCAAAAATAAATAAATAAAATTTTAAAAAGAAGTTGATTAATAATTAGCATAAAAAAAGATAAAAAATGGACTAAATAGTAAATGGTATGGAGCAATTTCCATATGGTGGCTCATGCCTATAGATCCCAGCACTTTAAGAAGCCGAGGTGGGAGGACTGCTTGAGGCCAGGAGTGGGAGAACAGCCTATGCAACAAAGACCCTGTTTCTATTCTAAAAAAAAAAAAGAGGGCCAGGCGCGGTGACACATGCCTGTAGTCCCAGCTACTTGGGAGGCTGAGGTGGGAGGATCACTTGAGCCCAGGGGTTCTGGGATGTAGTGTGCTATGCTGATCGGGTATCTGCACCAAGTTCGGCATCGATATGGTGACCTCCTGGGAGTGGGGGACCACCAGGTTGCCTAAGGAGGGGTGAACTGGCCCAGGTCAGAAACTGAGCAGGTCAAAATTCCCGTGCTGATCAGTAGTGGGACTGCATTCCAGCCTGGGCAACATAGCGAGGCCCTGTCTCAAAAAAAAAAAAAAAAAAAAAAAGAGGGAGTTACAGTGGCTCAGGCCAATTTTCCTGGTGTATAAGGAGGCGAGGCTACATGTTCGAGGCCAGCCTGGGCAACACAGACCTCTCATCCATTAAAAAAATAAATAATAAAAAAAGAAGGGGGCCAGGCGTGGTGGCTTATGCTTGCAATCCCAGTGCTTTGGGAGGCTGAGGCCAGTGAATCACGAAGTCAGGAGATCGAGGCCATCCTGGTTACGGTGAAACCCCATCTCTACTAAAATACAAAAAATTAGTAGGGCATGGTGGCGCGCACCCGTAGTCCCAGCTACTCAGGAGGCTGAGGCAGAGGAATCACTTGAACCGGGAGACGGAGGTTGCAGTGAGCCAAAATTGTGCCACTGCACTCCAGCCTGGCAACAGGGCAAGACTCCATCTCAAAAAAAAAAAAAAAAAAAAGAAGAAATAAATCACATGGCTAAACCTCAAAAATATACTGTTTCACTAAAAAAACAAGTTGCAAAGTACATGACACCATTCATAAATGTCCTAACTACACAAAGCCATAGCATTCACTTATTAATTAATTAATTTTTGAGACAGGGTCTTGTTCTACTGCCCAAGCTGGAGTGCAGTGGCATGATCAATTGCTCCCTGCAGCCTTAAGCTCCCAGGTTCAAGTGATCCTCCAACCTAAGCCTCCCAAGTAGCTGGGACCACAGGCATGCACCACCATGCTATTTCTTTTTTCTTTTGGAGAGATGGGGTCTCACTATGTTGCCTAGTCTGCTCTTGAGCTCCTAGGCTTAAATGATCCTTTTACCCTGGTCCCCGAAACGTGGTGGTAGTCGGGTGTAAGCCACCGTGGCACCCCCACCTCTTTTTCAGTGATGGGATCTCATTACATTGCCCAGGCTGGCCTCAAAAGAGGCCAAACTCTTGACCTCAAATGATCTTCCTGCCTCAGCTTCTCTCGTAGGTGAGACTACATGTGCACATATTTTTATAACAAAAAAAGAATAAAGGAGAACAATCACACCGGAATCAAAAGACTAGCTATCTTTAAGAAGGGGAAGCAGTAGAAGGGAGAGAGGGAGGGAGGGAGAGACGGAGGGTAGAGCTTTGGCAGTGCCCATTAAATTTTGTTACTTTAAAACATTCTGGGGACTGGGCACGGTGGCTCACACCTATAATTCCAGAACTTTCGGAGGCTGAGGGTAGATTATGAGGTCAAGAGATCGAGACCATCCTGGACAACATGGTGAAACCCCATCTCTAATAAAAAATATATAAAAATTAGCCGGGCATGGTGGTGTGCATCTGTAGTCCTAGCTACCTGGGAGGCTGAGGCAGGAAAATCGCTTGAACCCAGGAGGCAGATGTTGCAGTGAGCTGAGATTGCGCCACTGCACTCCAGCCTGGCGATAGAGCGAGACTCTGTCTCAAAAAAAAAAAAAAAATTCTGGGCCAGGCACGGTGGCATCATGCCTATAATCCCAGCACTTTGGGAGGCTGAGGTGGGCGGATCACTTGAGCTCAGGAGTTTAAGACCAGCATGGGCCTGGGCAACATGATGAGACCCAGACTCCATATTCATAGACACATGCAAGTGCGCGCGCGCGCACACACACACACACACACCCAGCTGCGCTAGCTGGGCATGGCTGCACACACCTGTGTTCCCATCTACTTGGGAGGCTGAGGTGGGAGGATCACTTACACCTGTGAGGTCAGGACTACAGTGAGCCATGATGGTACCACTGCACTCCAGACTGGGCAGCAGAGTGAGATCCTTATCCTAAAAAATAACTTAAAAAAAATTCTAGAGCAAGTATAGAAAATACTATACTTGGCCGGGCGCAGTGGCTCAAGTCTGTAATCCCAGCACTTTGGGAGGCCGAGGCGGGTGGATCACGAGGTCAAGAGATCGAGACCATCCTGGTCAACATGGTGAAACCCCGCCTCTACTAAAAATACAAAAACATTAGCTGGGCATGGTGGTGCATGCCTGTAATCCCAGCTACTCAGGAGGCTGAGGCAGGAGAATTGCCTGAACCCAGGAGGCGGAGGTTGCGGTGAGCCGAGATCGCGCCATTGTACTCCAGCCTGGGTAACATGAGTGAAACTCCGTCTCAAAAAAAAAAAAAAAAAAGAAAATACTATACTTTTAAATCTGGGTGAGGGTGGTGAGTACTTGGCTATCTGCTAATATTTTTGTAAGTGTTTTATATTTTATGTGTTTCTATGTTTGAAATACCAAATTTAATTTAAAAATTAAAATTAAAATTAAAATTTTACATATTTCGTGATGTCTTATCCGCTTAGTGCATAGGGATGCCGTGTAGACTAAGAGAGTGTAATTCTTGGCATGGTACTTACTGAACACAGAGCATCATCATCATCATCATTCTGAGACAAGGTCTTGCTGTGTTGCCCATGCTGGAGTACAGAAGCACAATCATAGCTCACTGTAGCCTCAACTTCCCAGACTTAAGGGATTATCCCACCTCCGCCTCCAGAGCAGCTAGGACTACAGGAACTCACCACCATGCCCAGCTAATTTTCTGTATTTTTTTTTGGTAGAGATAGGGTTTTGCCATGTTACACAGGCTGGTCTCAAACTCCTGGGTTCAAGCAATCTGCCTACCTCGGCCTCCCAAAGTGCTAGGGTTACAGGTGTGGCATTATTACTTATAATCCACACAATGAAATCCAGGTCATACTTATAGCCCCATATAGTTTTTCATTGGTATCAACATTACCCTAATTACTCACAGTTTTCATTGGATTTGACTCTGAATGACTTTTAGCTGTTTAAATATGCTAAATCCAACCTCAAACCATAAAAGCCTCCTATCATAAAAAATTTTTAATCAGAGCCAGGCATGGTGGCACATGCCAGTTGTACCAGCTACTTGGAGACTGAGGGAAAGATCACTTGAGTACAGGAGGCCAGCCTCGGCAATATGGTGAGAACCCATCTCTTAAAAAAAATTAATCAAATATGTTGTTGTATGCTTTGAAGATAACTGTAAAAAGAAAATTTTGGGGCCAGGCACAATGGCTAACACCTGTAATCCCACCACTTTGGGAGGTTGGAGGGGGCAGGTGAATCACTTGAGGTCAGGAGTTTGAGACCAACCTGGCCAACATGGTGAAACCCCATTTCTACCAGAAATACAAAATTAGCAGGGGGTGGTGGCAGGTACCTGTAATCCCAATTACTTGGGAGTCCGAGGCAGGAGAATCGCTGCATCCTGGGAGACAGAGGCTGCAGTGAACTGAGATTGCACCACTGCACTCTAGCCTAGGCGACAGAGATAGACTGTCTCAAAACAAAAAAACAGGTCCTTTGGCGGGGGGTGCTGGAAACCCTGTGGGCCTGCACGGCGTTCTTCCTTTTCTATTCGCCATCTGCAGTGAAGCTGCCACCAAAATGCAGATTTTTGTGAAAACCCTTAGGGAGAAGACCATCACCCTCGAGGTCAAACCCTCGGATAAGATAGAAAATGTAAAGGCCACAATCCAGGATGAGGAAGGAATTCCTCCTGATCAGCAAAGACTGATCTTTGCTAGCAAGCAGCAGGAAGATGGACGTACTTTGTCTGACTACAATGTTCAAAAGGAGTCTACTCTTCATCTTGTGTTGAGACTTCATGGTGCTGCTAAGAAAAGGAAGAAGTCTTATACCACTCCCAAGAAGAATAAGCACAAGAGAAAGAAGGTTAAGCTGGCTGTCCTGAAATACTATAAGGTGGATGAGAATGGTAAAATTAGTCACCTTTGTCGAGAGTGCCTTTCTGACGAATGTGGTGCTCGAGTGTTTATGGCAAGCCACTTTGACAGACAGTATTGTGGCAAATGTTGTCTGACTTACTGCTTCAACAAACCAGAAGACAAGTAACTGTATGAGTTAATAAAAGACAAGAACTAACAACAACCACAAAAAACAGCAAACAAAATAAAAAAAGGAATTCTAAATAGTAGCATCAGTAGAATAATTTTAGAGTCTCTCCAAGTGGCTTTTAGAAAGGGAAGAACACTAGCACAGTTGTCCATCAATGACAGAAAATCAGTCTCATTATATTTAATTTCCCTATATTCACAGTCACTCTCTAAGTTTAGTCAGTCTCCCTGAGTTTATAGCATTTTCCCATTTATCAGTTCCATCTCCCTCCTGAGGTTACAAGTCTATTCAACATAATACTGCATGGTGATTAAGATGATGATGCAGTTTTCTAGCTGCTTAGGTTAAAATCTGGCTCTAAGCGTCATTATACCTATGACCCTGGTTCAAGTTATTTAACCTTCCTGGTTTCCTTAACAATAATATGAGATTCTTTTTTTCCTTTCTCTTTTTTTTGAGACAGTCTCACTTCGTCGCCCAGGCTGGAGTGCAGTGGTGTAATCTCGGCCCACTGCAACCTCTGCCTCCCGGGTTCAAGCAATTCTTCTGCCTCAGCCTCCCAAGTAGCTGGGACTTCAGGCCTGCACCACCATGCTGGCTAATTTTTGCATTTTTAGTAGAGATGGGGTTTCACCATGTTGGTCAGGCTAGTCTCAAACTCCTGACCTCATGATCCGCCTGCCTTGGCCTCACAAAGTGCTGGGATTACAGGCATAAGCCAACACACCCGGCCAATACGGAATTTTTTAAAAAAGCACTTAGTCCAGTACCTAAGACCACAAGTAAGATCACAATAAAAGCTACTTCTTTTTTTTTTTTTGAGACAGGGTCCCCCTGTCACCCAGGCTGAATAAAAGCTACTTCTGTTGCTGCTGCTATTGGTACTTTTATTATCATTGGCAAGAACTGTGTCTCTTATTTCTTTGCTATTGCTCAGAAGACCTTACAAGTTCAGAGGTCAGCAAACTTTTTCTAAAGGGTCAGAAAACAAATAGTTTAGTCTTTGTAGGCCATAAGGTCCCTGTTGCAACTACTTTACTCTGCCCTTGTAATCTGAAAGCAGCCACAGACTATACATAAATGAATGGTTGTAGCAGCAACCCAGTAAAACTTTATTTACAAAAACAGAAAGCAGGCCAAATTTGGCCTGTGAGCCAGATACCTGATCTAGATGTCTGTATACGCTATTTGCAAGTGATCTACACATATTTACATGGACTATGCAATTTGTTGTTAGAATAAGAAGATACTATTCCTACATTTGGAAACAGGCACCAATTTTTTTTTCCTCTTCCCTGTTCTATTTCCTATAACTGACTTGGCAGCTCTGTAAGTACCCAGCAGACACAAAAGCATGACAAGAATTCAGAGACTATATCAAAGGACAAGAAAATTTTAGTATAGGCTTTAGTCCTTGATGATTGACAAAAAAAAAGCCAGTGGCTTGCCTAAAAGAATATTCTAAGGTGATCAAAACTATAAGGAAAAAGAAGCCAAGTTTTCTTTTCAGTCTTAGTTTCTTTTCTGCCTCAATTATTTTCTGATTTGCCGTAGGGAAACAGCAATGAGGAAATCAGAGTATACTGCTGTTTCTCTAAACATGTTTATAACTGATTCATAAATCCCTCTCCAGTTCCATAGAAGCACTCTGGAAGTCACTGCTAATCTAGGTTCATCTAGGACAAGCCTTTATTTTATTTCTAACAGCAGCTTCCCTCTGGAAGAGCCCAGCCTTCCAGATTACCTCTGTCCCCACAGCCTCTCAGGCCCTGAGCTGCAGGGAAGGCCCAGCACTGCCCTCTGTGGGTGAGAGGCGTGGCAACATGGACAGAGAACACCAAAACCCACGCCTGCGGGACTCACCTGTAGCTGGAGGCTCAGGGACCTGTGCTTCACAGCAGAGGCATGGAGGGCACGGCTCACACGGACCTGTCCTAGTCGCTGCCTCCACACGCTCCACCACACCCTGTCAAAGAGCAAATCAAAGACGGAACCCATCAGAAGAAAGTCACTCAGAAAAGAGGAGCAGTTAGTGTGGGGCCTCAGACCCTCAGCTCTAGTCCTCTCCCTTATAGTGTCATCTGTGGATTGACTGCTGGGGGAAAAAAGAAAACAATTGAGAAAAAGTCCTAGAGCTGCCAATTAATGGTTGGAAGCTTACGGTTCCTAAGGTCAGATCTGGCTTTAGACACCACAGACATGCTGTTCGGCCTACACAGTCTGGTTAAAAAAAAAAATACATTATGGTCCTGCCGGGCGCAGTGGCTCAAGCCTGTAATCCCAGCACTTTGGGAGGCCGAGGCGGGTGGATCACGAGGTCAAGAGATCGAGACCATCCTGGTCAACATGGTGAAACCCCGTCTCTACTAAAAATACAAAACATTAGCTGGGCATGGTGGCGCGTGCCTGTAATCCCAGCTATTCGGGAGGTTGAGGCAGGAGAATTGCCTGAACCCAGGAGGCAGAGGTTGCAGTGAGCCGAGATCGCGCCATTGCACTCCAGTCTGGGTAAGAAGAGTGAAACTCCATCTCCAAAAAAAAAAAAAATACATTATGGTCTTATCAGACGTGGCCAGGGAAAACAGAGAAAAGCAACAACAACAACAAAAACAGACATAAAAAAAAATATGTTATGGGCCAGGTGCGGTGGCTCACGCCTGTAATCACTGCACTTTGGGAGGCCAAGGTGGGCGACTGGCTGAGCTCAGGAGTTTGAAACCAGCCTGGGCAACATGGTAAAACCCCGTATCTACTAAAAAACACACACACACAGACACACACACACACACACACACACGCGCGTGCGCGCGCACGAAATTATCCAGGCATGGCAGAGTGTGCACCATGTAGTCCCAGCTAGTTAGGCTAAGGTGGAAGAATCGCTTAAACCTGTCAAGGTTGCAGTGAGCTGAGATCACACCACTGCACTCCAGCCTCAGCGACAGAGTAAGACTCCATCTCAGAAAAACAAACAAAAAAAGAGTTATTACCAACATTTGAAAATCAGGAGATTTCACAAACTAATCTGTAATAAAGTGGCTTTTAGATTTCTAGTCCTGCTGTATCCTTTTCCTTCTCAGCTTCCTGGCCAGACTTTCATTTCAGTCTTGGTTTCTTTTCTACTAATTTTCAAATTTGTTCTAGGAAAATAGTCATGGGGAAATAAGTTTCCAACTTGTGCTTTAAAGAAACACTCCTTTGCCTGGTCACTCTAACCCAGAAAGACTTCTATTAGACCATGCTCACCTGCAGCACTCACTGCAAAACCTCAAGCTATCTTACATTATCACTTATCTTTTTTTTTTTTTTAACATCACTCCCATGCAGTAGAATCATTTATCTTCTTATGCATTTAGGGAATCACACATTTCCTGAATATAGTCCCAGCACCAATACAGTACCAGGAATGTTTTGTTCATTAATTTTTTTAGGTATATAAACTATTTATTAACAGACAAGGCCTACAGACTTATTTCTTCTTGGACACACCCATAGTACGCTGCAGTGGCCAGTGGTCTTGAACACAAAAGCCCCAGAAGTGGCACAGCCCTCTATGGGCCCAAATCTTCTTCAGTCACTGCAGGTCTGCATGGAGTTTGTTGTCCAGACCATTGCCTAGGACCTGGCTATATTTTCCACCCTTTATACCCTTCTGTCTGTTCAAGAACCAGTCTAGGATCTTGTACTGGCATGAATTCTGCATAATGGTGATCACACATTCCATCTCATCCTCAGTGAGTTCTCCTGCCCTCTTGATGAGGTCAATGTCTGCTTTCCTAAACACCACATGAGTATATTGTCAACCACACCCTTAATGGCAGTGATGGCAAAGGCCCATTGATACTGGTGTTGAATACTTGCAAAATATGCTGGAATTTTTCAGGGATCACTAGAGACATGGCAGCAGCACAAGTGGCAGTGTAAAGGCCTCCTGTGGAAGCCATTTTTTTTTTTTTTGAGACAGTCTCACTCTGTTGCCCAGGCTGCACTTCAGTGGCACAATCTCAGCTCACTGCAACATCTGCCTCCCTGGCTCAAGCAGTTCTCATGCCTCAGCCTCCCGAGTAGCTGGGATTACAGGTGTGCACCACCACACCTGGCTAACTTTTCTATTTTTTTAGTAGAGATGGAGTTTCACCAAGATAAAGTTTCAGGCACTGCACCTAGCCTAGTACCAGGAACATTTTAAGCCGTCAATAAATAGGCTGGGCACTGTGGCTCATGCCTGTAATCCCAGCACTTTGGGAGGCCGAGGTGGGTAGATCACCTGAGGTCAGGAGTTCAAGACCAGCCTGGCCAACATGGTAAAACCCCGTCTTTACTAAAAATACAAAAAATTAGCTAGGCATGGTGGTGTGCACCTGTAATCCCATTCACTCGGGAGGCTGAGGCAGGAGAATCACTTGAACCCAGGAAGTGGAGGTTGTAGTCAGCAAAGATTACACCACGGTACTCTAGCCTGGGCGACAGAGTATTTATTTGAGACTTTGTCTCAAATAAATGTATGTTGAGAAAATGAATTATTTATATAAAAATATCACTCAGACTCAAGTAAAATTGCATACTAATCAGGCATTTTGAGATATTTGCTAAATAGATTTTAAGTAACAATTTTAATTAATTTTTTTATTTTTATTTTTTTTTGAGACAGAGTCTTGCTCTGTCACCCAGGCTGGAGAGCAGCAGCACGATCTCTGCTAACTGCAACCTCCACCTCCCAGGTTCAAGTAATTCTCTGCCTCAGCCTCCTAAGTATCTGGGATTACAGGCACCCGCCACCACACCCAGCTAATTTTTTGTATGTTTAATAGAGATGGGGTTTCACCATCTAGGCCAGGCTGGTCTTGAACTCCTGACCTCGTGATCCACCCGCCTTGGACTCCCAAAAGGCTGGGATTACAGGTGTGAGCCACTGCACCTGGCCTAATTATTTATTTTAAAAAAATTTTTGTGTGTAGAGACGGGGTCTTGGCTTTGTTGCCCAGGCTGGTCTCAAACTCCTGGCCTCAAGCAATCTTCCCACCTTAGGTCCCCAAAGTTTTGGGATTACAGGTTTGAGCTACTGTACTCTGCCTATTTTATTTCTACTTAAATAACTTCTTTATATTGACTGCTGTTCTGGACACTGTTAAGTACTTTACAGATATTCCTTTATTTCTTCCTGATGACAAAACTACAACTATGGTGTAACTATTTCACAGATGAGGAAAATAAGAGTTGAAGAGATGAAATGACCCAATAATACAGGATGGAAGAGGGATTCAAACCGAAATCAGCACAGCTGCAAAGCCCCTGCTATTATCCATACTTTGTTCAATACCCAACTCTTTCAGGTAGGAAGTGGGCTCTTAATATCCTACCATTCAGGACACCAGTGGACCACTACAGACAACATACAGTGCAATCTGTCCCATTATAATGCAGCTCACTGTTACACATCTGGTTATAAACGTGGATTAACTCATGCTCCTCAGTATGTCTACAATGCTGATGGGCTGCAATGCAGAACAGCAGTAAAGGGCATGGGTGGGTGAGCCTAGTTTTGCCAATTACAACCTGTATGTGCTAGGCAGGTTACTCAACCTCTCTGAGCATTATTGTACATCTTAATCTTAAATTATAAGTACAATCATGGTGCTTATAATTTACAGTGAGGGTTAAAGAAGATACTTTATGAAATTAACACATGCACACACAAGCTTAATATAGGGTTTAGAACATAGTACTCAATTAGTGTTAATTATGATTATGTAAAAATCTGATCTTATAGTTGAACAAGTTATCATTAAATCTTTATTGGGCATCACCTATGTTCAAAACATTGTTTCGGCCGGGCGCGGTGGCTCAAGCCTGTAATCCCAGCACTTTGGGAGGCCGAGGCGGGTGGATCACGAGGTCAAGAGATCGAGACCATCCTGGTCAACATGGTGAAACCCCGTCTCTACTAAAAATACAAAAAATTAGCTGGGCATGGTGGCGCGTGCCTGTAATCCCAGCTACTCAGGAGGCTGAGGCAGGAGAATTGCCTGAACCCAGGAGGCGGAGGTTGCGGTGAGCCGAGATTGCGCCATTGCACTCTAGCCTGGGTAACAAGAGAAAAAACTCCGTCTCAAAAAAAAAAAAAAAAAAAAAAAAAAAACAACATTATTTCAAGGTGGGAGCAGGGCATGGTGGCTCATGCCTACGATCCTAGCACTTTGGGAGGCTGAGGTGGGCAGATCGCTTGAGCCCACAAATTCAAGAGCAGCCTGGGAAACATGGCAAAACCCCGCCTCTACAAAACAAATGAAAAAAAGAAATTAGCTGGGCATAGTGGTGCATGCCTGTAGTCCCAGCTACTCGGAAGGCTGAGGCAGAAGGACTGTTTGAGCTTGGGAGGTGGAAGCTGCAGTGAGCTACGATTGTGCCACTACACTCCAGCCTGGGTGACACGGAAAGACCCTATCTCAAAAACAAAAACAAACCATTGTTTTAAGGTGGGTTTTTATGCTGCTTTCCAGCACCATAAAGCTGATGAGGTAAAACGATGGTTGCTAATCTGTAGGACAGTTGAGGAGACTCACCATAGGATACTCCGTTGCCTAAACTCCAGAGCCGTAGTCTGCATCTGAAGTTTGGTCCTGCGAAAAACCACGTAGATCAACCAAGACTTCCAGGCTTGTCCCATCTTTTGCTTTGCATCTAGATTCACCAAAGAGATTTTCAAAAGGCATGGGAAGAGATGGATTACTCCGGGTTATGATAAAAGCTCAAGGGCTTTCTTTCCTTTGAATATCTAAATCCCTCCAACCTCCAAGTGCCCCCTGCTGGAAAAGTTGTGAAGCACTACACAAGTAATTACGGTGCAAGAACACGTGAAGACTTTGAGCAAATAATGACTTTTACAAAGCGTTTAAAGAAAAATTAACATACTGAACTGCTCAAAAACCCTTTGCTTTAAAAGCACTTATTTTTTCTTCTTCTTTGTCTTGAACACATTTAATAGCTGCTGTTCTAATAAAGCGCTTATTTTTATAGATATACTCCGCAATTTTTAGATGAAATGATGTGAATAAACAGGCAGCAAAGAAGTAGAGAGATGGATCTCACAATAATGGCATGAGTGGATAATCAAAGCTGGGTAATGCATACACAGAGGTTCATTATTCTATTAAACATCTTTCAGGCTGGGCGTGGTGGTTCATGCCTGTAATCCCAACACTCTGGGAGGCCGAGACTAGTAGATCACCTGAGGTCAGGAGAGACCAGCCTGATCAACCTGGTGAAACTTGTGTCTACTAAAAGTACAAAAACTAGCCGGGTATGATGGCGTGCACCTGTAGTCCCAGCTACTCAGGAAGCTGAGGCAGGAGAATTGCTCAAACCCGGGAGGTGGAGGTTGCAGTGAGCTGAGATTGTGCCATTGCCCTCCAGCCTGAGCAACAGAGTGAGACTCTGTCTCAAAAAAAAAAAAAAAGACACCTTTCAATTTTTGTAGATATTTAAAGCTTTCCACATTACAAAGTTAAAGAAGAAGAAACCACGATATAAAACTTGCTGTTTGACTCCAAGCTCACACTTTTTAGTAAAGAGGAAAAAAAAACTTGCTGTTTGAAACAGTAATTGTAAAACAGAATAAGCAAGATAAAGGGAAAGAATATATACACTGAGGAAACATAAAAATGCCTAGTAATGATCCTGGAGAAAAGATAATTTACTAGATATGGAAAATGCAAACGCACACAGGTCTCTCCTTGTTGTAAATTATATTTTCATTATGAAAGTCACTACTAATGAAGTAAATTTCTTATCTTTTTAGAAGACAAAGGAGAAAATAAAATTATATAAATCATTTTTAGGACAACCTCCAAGATGTAGTCAATAGAACTATAACTATATTTTATATTTCACAGTTGTTGACAAATCAAAATATGAAAGAGAATTTAACATGTAACTTGCTTGGTTTCACCCTGGATATCAGGAATTAGCACACTTCAGGTAATGAAGACTAGTGCGGTGCTGTGGTTTAGAATTTGGGAGATCCTGAGTAAGGCAAGCCAGACTTACTGGCTCTTTCACTTATTACATAAGTAATCTCATACAAGTTCCTCATCTGTAAAATGGCGCCTCTCTCAGAGATATGTTTGGAAAGTGTATATGAGATTATGTATCTATGAAAAATTTCTAAAATAAACACTATCTGCTCTTTCCAGAATATGGAACACAGGAATCTCATTAACTGTCTCTGCTATGATTCTGATACACATGACAATTTGAGACCCATGCTTCCTTAAGGCTTCCTTAAGGCTTAAAAGTTCTTGCAAAGTTTTATTTAACAGTGCAAGAGCCGGGCGCAGTGGCTCAAGCCTGTAATCCCAGCACTTTGGGAGGCCGAGGGGAGTGGATCATGAGGTCAAGAGATCGAGACCATCCTGGTCAACAGATCAAGACCATCCTGGTCAACATGGTGAAACCCCATCTCTACTAAAAATACAAAACATTAGCTGGGCACGGTGGCGCGTGCCTGTAATCCCAGCTACTCAGGAGGCTGAGGCAGGAGAATTGACTGAACCCAGGCGGCGGAGGTTGCGGTGAGCCAAGATCACGCCATTGCACTCCAGCCTGGGTAACAAGAGTGAAACTCTGTCTCAAAAAAAAACAAAAAAACAGTGCAAGAGTGAATGGACACTCCCTGAGGTCTATGGACACGGCCTGACATAACTAGTTATATGTCAGAAATAACTCTTGCCTCTTGAATAGCTGGGACTGCAGACGTGCACCACCACAACTGGCTAATTTTCTTATTTTTTTTTTTTTTAGAGATGAGGTTTTTGCCATGTTGCCTGGGCAGATCTTGAACTCCTGGCCTCAAGTAATCCTCCCACCTTGGCCTCCCAAAGTGCTGGGATCACAGGTGTGAGCCACCGTGCCTGGACAACTCTTTTTATCTTAAACCTCCAAATGACTTTTTCCTTCTATTCCATAATACCTAGCTAGATTCACTGTAACTATAAATAATATGAGACAGCAGAATGTACATTCTTCAAGTAAATACTGAACATTTACAAGATAGAGCCAACCTATTTGGGGCCACAAAACAAACTTTAACAAAATCAAAGGAACCGAAATGATATTAAGTCTTGTTCTCTAACCATAATGGAATAAACTAGAAATCCTTAATAGAAAGATATTGGGAAAATCCCAAATATTACAAAACTAAACACACTTCTAAATAATCTATGGGGCACAGAGGGGGTCTCAGGGAAAATCAGAAAACAAATTTTTTACTGAATGGAAACAGAAATATAACTTATTAAAATTTCTGTAATGTAGTTAGTGTTTAAGAGAACTTTATAGCAGTAAACGCCTCTACTAAAAATACAAAAAAAAAAAAAAATTAGCTGGGTGTGGTGGCAGGCACCTATAATTCCAGCTACTCGGGAGGCTGGTGCAGGAAAATCACTTGAACCTGGGAGGCAGAGGTTGCAGTGAATCGAGCTTGCACCACTCTGCACTCCATCCTGAGTGACAGAGAGAGACTCTATCTGAAAAAGAAAAAACGAAAAGCCTGGCTATGGTGGCTCGCGCCTGTAATCCCAGCACTTTGAGAGGCCAAGGCAGGCAGATCATGAGGTCAGAAGATCAAGATCATCCTGGGATAAACCTCTAGCCAGACTAAGCAAGAATAAAAGACCAAAGAAATAAATTACCAACGTCAAGGAATGAAAGGGGGCGACAGCTACAGAATCCGAAGAAATCAAATCATAATTATGAAATATTTGGCCAGGCATGGTGGCTCATGCCTATAATCCCAGTACTTTGGGAGGCCGAGGCAGTGAATCACCTGAGGTCAGGAGTTTGAGACCAGCCTGGCCAACATAGTGAAACCCTATCTTTACTAAAACTACAAAAATTAGCCAGGCATGGTGGCAGGCGCCTGTAATCCCAACTACTCGGGAGGCTAAAACAGGAGAATCACCTGAACTACAGGCACCCACCACCTCACCTGGCTAGGAGGCAGAAATTGCAGGGAAAAAATAAATGAGAGAGATTAATGAAGAGGCACTTATAACACTCTGGAAAAAAAGATGAGGATTACTCTCAGGCAGTAGCAATGCAAAGATGATTGCAACTGATGCTCAGAGGGCCATCTTAAAAGATTAGGTAACTGATGACACAAGGCTTGAGGAATGGATGCCATTACTAAGGAAAAGTCAAAGGAACAGCAGGTCTAAGTGGTAGGGGAGCTGACAGGTTGTACTTGTATATTGCAGAGTTTGAGGCATCTTTAGGACATTCTGCTGCGAATCCAGTCTGTGTTATCATTTTGAAACTCTATGTCTTTTTCCTTAGACTCTCCACATGGGTTTCTGGGTTCAATTCACAGAGAAACCAGACTCTAACCAGAGCTAAAGTGGCCACTTTAGTATCACTAAGGGACAACTTGGGAAAGCAGATAAAAAAAAAGAGCACTGCAGCCCTGCTCCAGACTCTCCAGGCAACTTGACACAGCAAGATAGACCGAAGCCCCAGGTGCCATGGGGGAGTCACAGCCAGCACACTGAGCCAGCAGGCCAGGAACAGCCAGTTCACACAAATTCTGATTAAATGAGCTTTAAGGGCTTAAACCATGCCATATTGAGAAAGCCAGAGACCCAATCCTAAGGTACCCACTCAGAGATCACACTTTCTGAAAAATTATGAAAGAGAATCAAACAAATCTTCCTTAGATCTAGAGTTATTCCAGGTCTAAGATTCTACTCTAAGATTATGAAAGAAAATCAAATAAATCTTCCTTAGACCTAGAGTTATTCTATCTCTAAGACAATGTGTTTGTCCTTCCTAAGACTTTCTGCAAAGTAAATGTGGGCATCTTCTTTAGACATGTACTTCTTTTTCTCACCATGAACTTCGGCTCTAATGAACTTGCTCCTCATCTCCTGCTGCTGACGCACGTAGGTCTTCCAGGTCTGGAACATCAGGTTGTACAGGTAATACCTGAGGAGTAAAAAGCAAATGGCATTTCTTTAAAACAAAACAACAAGCCAGGCGCAGTGGCTCATGTCTGTAATCCTAGCACTTTGGGAGGCCGAGGCAGGTGGATCACTCGAGGTCAGGAGTTCAAGACCAGCCTGGCCAATATGGTGAAACCCCACCTCTACTAAAAACGCAAGAATTAAGCCAGGCACAGTGGCTCACACCTGTAATCCCAGCACTTTGGGAGGCCAAGGTGAGCGGATCACGAGGTCAAAAGATTGAGACCATCCTGGCCAACACGGTGAAACCCCATCTCTACTAAAAATACAAAAATTAGCCAGGCGTGGTGGTGCGCACCTGTAGTCCCAGCTCCTTGGAAGGCTGACGCAAGAGAATCACTTGAACCTAGGAGGCGGAGGTTGCAGTGAGCCGAGATCACACCACTGCACTTCAGCCTGGCGACAGAGTGAGACTGCTTCTAAAAAACAAAAAAAAAAATTAGCTGGGTGCGGTGGCACACACCTGTAATCCCAGCTACTTGGGAGGCTGAGACAGGAGGGTCACTTGAACCCAGGAGGCGAAGGTTGCAGTAAGCCAAGATCATGTGTCACTGCACTCCAGCCTGGGCAACAGAGCAAGATGCTGTCTCAGAAAAACAGCAACAACCAAACAACAACAATAAAACAACTCCTAACCCAACACACCAAGTCTGTTCTATACTCAGAAGAAATTAACAGGGATGCTTCTGATTAGGAAAAAAAAAAAAAAAGAAAAAATGCAATCCGTATCTGTATCAAAGCTAAAATTTCATTTCCTACAATCACAATGAACTCTATTTTCCTCAAAGAAGAGTCATTCTCCATACCTTAAAGTGTCACTGACCAAGAAAAGGCTTGACTTTTCCAAGAATAAGTTAACTTTCATCATCCAAAAATCCATAATGTTTGGGCCAGGTGCAGTAGCTCACGCCTGTAATCTCAGCATTTTGGGAGGCCAAGGTGGGCGGATCAAATGGGGTTGGGAGTTCAAGACCAGCCTAGCCAACATGGTGAAATCCCGTCTCTACTAAAAATATAAAAATTAGCCAGGTGTGGTGGCATGTGCCTATATGATAGGCAAATTGCTTGGACCTGGGAAGTGGAGGTTGCAGCAAGCCGAGATTGCTCCACTGCACTCCAGCCTGGGTGACAGCAAGACTCTGTCTCAAATTAAAAAAGAAAGAAAAATCCATGATGCTTGGAATGACGGTCTTGTCTTTTTTTTTTTTTAGATAGGGTCTCACTCTGTCACCCAGGCTGGAGTGCAGTAATGTGAACACGGCTCAATGTAGCCTTGAGCCCTCCCTGGGCTCAGGTGCTCCTCCCACCTTGGCCTCTCAAGTAGATGGGACTACAGGTATCCACCATCTCACCTGGCTAATTTTTGTATTTTTTTGTAGAGAGGGGATTTTGCCATGTTGCCTAGGCTGGTCTCCAACTCCTGGGCTCAAGTGATCCTCTTGCCTCAGCCTCCCAAAGTGCTAGGATTACAGGTGTGAACAACCATGCCTGGCCAACAGTCACATCTTAATTATCTTAACTATCCACACTATAAAAAACATCACTTCTCAGCCAGGCGTGGTGGCTCACACTTGTAATCACAGCACTTTAGGAGGCCAAGGCTGGAGGATCAGGAGGTCAGAAGTTTGAGACCAGCCTTGCCAACATGGGAAACCCCATCTCTACTAAAAATCCAAAAAATTAGCTGGGCGTGGTGGCGTGCACCTGTAATCCCAGCTACTCTGGAGGCTGAGGCAGGAGAATCGCCTGAACCCAGGAAGCGGAGGTTGTAATAAGTGCAGATCACGCCATTGTACTACAGCCTGGGCAACAAAGCAAGACTCTGTCTCAAAAAAAAAAAAAAAAAATCACTTCTCTTTTGCACTACGTGGTCATTGACACCTTTTCCTTCTTGATACACACACCATACATCTTATGATCTTCATCTCTTCATAGTTTCCTTTTTTTTTTTGAGACGGAGTTTCACTCTTGTTACCCAGGCTGGAGTGCAATGGCGTGATCTCGGCTCACGGCAACCTCCGCCTCCTGGGTTCAGGCAATTCTCCTGCCTCAACCTCCCGAGTAGCTGGGATTACAGGCACACGCCACCATGCCCAGCTAATGTTTTGTATTTTTAGTAGAGACGGGGTTTCACCATGTTGACCAGGATGGTCTTGATCTCTTGACCTCGTGATCCACCTGCCTCGGCCTCCCAAAGTGCTGGGATTACAGGCTTGAGCCACCGCGCCCGGCCGTTTCCTTTTTTTTTTAATGTTCATTTTAAAAAACTTTTTTTTTTTTTTAGGACAGAGTCTCACTCTGTCACCCAGGCTGCAGTGCAGTGGCATGATCTTGGCCCACTACAACCTCTAACTCCTGAGTTCAAGGGATTCTCCTGCCTCAGCCTCATGAGTGGCTGGGACTATAGGCACACGCCACCATGCCCAGCTAATTCTTTTTTTTTTTTGGAGACAAAGTTTCACCCTGTCTCCCTGGCTAGAGTGCAGTGGTGCAATCTCAGCTCACTGCAACCTCCATCTTCAGATTCAAGCAATTCTCCTGTCTCAACTTCCCAAGTAGCTGGGACTACAGACGCATGCTGCCAAGCCTGGCAAATTTTTTTTGTATTTTAGTTGCGATGGGGGTCTCACCATGTTGCACAGGAATTTTGTATTTTTATCTTTTATTTGATTGATTGATTGAGACAGAGTCTCGCTCTTATTGCCCAAGCTGGAGTGCAATGGCATGATCTCAGCTCACTGCAACCTCCACCTGCCAGGTTCAAGTGATTTTCCTGCCTCAGCCTCCTGAATACCAAGGGTTACAGGCATGCACACCACCATACCCGGCTAATTTTGTATTTTTAGTAGAGACAGGGTTTCTCCATGTTTATCAGGCTGGTCTCAAACTCTCAACCTCAGGTGATCCACCCGCCTCAGCCTCCCAAAGTGCTGGGATTACAAGCACCAGCCACTGCACCTGGCTCAGGTGGCCAGACCTCAGGTGATCCACCTGCTATCTGCTTATCAGAAGAACTCAGCGTGTCTCTATTTTATCTGAAATAGCCATAAACAGAACTCTTGCTCCAAAGAACCTAGATAAAGACATAACTACAATAAGAGTGAATATCATTTTAAATATACGATCTACAAGAAATGACATTCAGGTTTTAAAAAAAAGGTCTGAAAATGTGTATTTAACAATTCTCAATTGTTACTTTCCCCTTCTCTTATCCCTGGGAATGTGAATGTCAAGGGGTTGAGTTTTTTTTTTCTTTCTTTTTTTTGAGACAGGGTCTAGCTGTGTTGCCCAGGCTGGAGTGTAGTGGCACAATCTCAGCACCACTACACCCCCCTAATTTTTTGTACTTTTTGGTAGAGATGGGATTACATCATGTTGCTGAGGCTGGTCTCAAACTCTTGTGCTTAAGTGATCTACCTGCTTTGGAATCCCAAAGTACTAGGATTACAGGCATGAGTCACTGCACCTGGCCTCTATTTTCTTAATGTTCTATTTTGGGCATATGTTTTCTCCCATAATCAATATAAATTAAAACAATTTATTACTTTAAAACAGGGTGAGGCATGGTGGCTCACACCTGTAATCCCAGCACTTTAGGAGGCCGAGGCGAGCAGACCACTTGAGATGAGGAGACCAGCCTGACCAACATGGAGAAACCACATGTCTACTAAAAATATAAAATTAGCCAGGCACGGTGGCACATGCCTGTAATCCCAGCTGCTTGGGAGGTTGAGGCAGGAGAACTGCTTGAACTCATGAGGCAGAGATTGCAGTGAGCCAAGATCACACCATTGCACTCCAGCCTCGGCAACAAGAGCAAAAGTCTGTCTCAAAAAAAAAAAAAAACCCAAAAACCCAATCGTTTCAGAATTAGGAATTATATAGAAGTGAGAATGGGTGGGAAAAACCCATTCAAACTATTAGCATAACCAACACATAAGCGATCCAAAGTTTACCCATTTTGACCATAAACATGCCAACAAGTAGTCATCTGATAATGTGCCTCAGTAAAATTGAAGGAGTGTAACATGAAATCTGACCTGTAGTGACAGTCAGCTCGAACACAGAGTTTCCACTCATGATGGAAAACCCACCACTCTTCTTTCCATTCTTCGAAGACCTTCCGCAGTAATTGCTGCTCATAGTAAAATCTGGGGGAATAAAAAAAAAAATCAGAGAATTATATACAATGACGTTGGAGCTGACGTCTATTCCCAAATCATAGTTTCACATTATTGTTGCCTTCTCATAAAAACATAAACACCAAGATAGATTAAAAATGGAAGCCAGGCATGGTGGCTCATGCCTGTAATCCCAACACTGAGAGGTCGCGAGGAGTTTGAGACCAGCCTGGGCAACAGAGCAAGACTCCATCTAGGGCTGAGTGCAGTGGCTTATGCCTGTAATCCCAGCACTTTGGGAGGCTGAGACAGGTGGATTGTTGGAGTTCAAGACCAGGCTGGGTGACAAGGTGAAACCCAATCTCTACAAAAAATTAAAAATTAGCCAGGCATAGTGGGGGCGTGCTATTGCAGTCCCAGCTACCTGGGAAGTTGAGGTGGGAGGATCACTTGAGCCCAGGAGGCAGAGGTTACAATTAACTGAGATCTTGCCACTGCACTTCAGCCTGGGCGACAGAGTGAGAACCTGTCTCAAATACATTAAAAAAAATAATAATAAGCCAGGTGCAGTCACTCATGCCTGTAATCCCAGCACTTTGGGAAACCAAGGTGGGTGGATTACCTGAGGTCAGGTGTTTGAGACCAGCCTGGCCAACATGGCGAAATCCCATCTCTACTAATAGAGAAGTCAGCCAGGTGTGATGGTAGGCATCTGTAATCCCAGCTACTTGGGAGGCCAAGGAAGGAGAATCGCCTGAACCCGGGAGGGAGAGGTTGCAGTGAGCCAAGATCGCACCACTGCACTCCAGCCCGGGTGACAGAGAAAGACTTCTGTCTCAAAAAAAATAAAAGTAAAAATAAAATAATAAAATTAAAAAAATAAGACTCCATCTCTACCAAAAAATTTAAAAATAAAGTTTATGATGATGTCTCACTATATTACCCAAGCTGGTCTCGAAATCTTGGGCTCAAGTGATCCTCCCACCTGAGCCTTCCAAAGTGCTGGTATTACAGACATAAGCCACTGTACTTAGCTCTACAAAAATTTTTTTTAATTAGCCAAGCATGGTGGCATGTACCTGTGGTCCCAGCTATTCTAGAGGCCTAGGTGGGAGGATCACTTGAGCCTCAGAGGTCAAGACCCTATCTCTTAAACAATCAAAAAAACATAAATTGGCTTTTTCAGATCAGAATCTCAGAACTACTTAAACTAGAAATGAGGTGAAAATTTTTCTAATATTGATTTTACCGATTAAAGATGTTAAAGTAAAATAAAAATCTGATTTTTTTCTCTTTTTTTTTTTTTTTGAGACGGAGTTTCGCTCTTGTTACCCAGGCTGGAGTGCAATGGCGCGATCTCGGCTCACTGCAACCTCCGCCTCCCGGGTTCAGGCAATTCTCCTGCCCCAGCCTCCTGAGTAGCTGGGATTACAGGCACGCGCCACCATGCCCAGCTAATTTTTTTGTCTTTTTAGTAGAGACGGGGTTTCATCATGTTGACCAGGATGGTCTCGATCTCTTGACCTCGTGATCCACCCGCCTCGGCCTCCCACAGTGCTGGGATTACAGGCTTGAGCCACCGCACCCGGCCCTGATAATTTTTTTTTGAGACAGAGTCTCCCTCTGTTGCCCGGGCTGAAATGCAGTGGTGCAGTCATGGTTCACTGCAGCCTTGACCTCCTAGGTTCAAGTGATCCTTCCACCTCAGCCTTCAAAGTAGCTGTGACTACAGACATGCTCCACTACTATGCCTGGCTAATTTTTTATTTTTTTGTAGAGACAGGATTTCATCATGTTACCCTAGCTAGTCTTGAACTCCTGGGCTCAGGTGATCCTCCTGCCTTGGTCTCCCAAAATCTCACTTTTCAAATACCATAAAGTGAATTGAAAATTACTATTTTTGTTTTCATTCACCAGAAAAATATTTTTATTACTAAAAAGTAGTAATGTCTTATTTACAAACATGTGAATTTAAAGTTATAAAATAAGTGAATGCCTAACAATATTCCTAGTACTTAACAGGAACATATAGGATATTAATTTAGCTGAAATCTGAAGAGGGGAATTGTAACAGCAGCAAAAGATGAGTAAGAGAAAGTAGTGAGGAAAAAGGTAATAAGGAACACAGAAGAGCAGTCACAGATGGTGTTGATTTCTTTTTTCTTTTTTGAGAGTCTTGCTCTGTCACCCACGCTGGAGTACAGTGACACAATCTCTGCTCACTGCAATCTCCGCCTCCTGGATTCAAGTTATTCTCGTGCCTCAGTCTCTCGAGTAGCTATGACTCCAGGAGCACATCACCCGGCCTAGCTAATTTTTGTATTTCAGTAGAGATGGGGTTTCACCATGTTGCCCAGGCTGGTCTTGAACTCCTGAGCTCAATCTGCCCACCTTAGCCTCCCAAAGTGCTGGGATTACAAGTGTGAGCCACCATGCTGGCCTATCAATCACTTTGAATTTCTTGTCATGATTCTGCAGGTTACTAACATGTCATTCCTCCAAACCCATTCACAGTTTTTTTTTCTTTGAGACGGAGTCTTGCTTTGCTCTAGGCACGAGTGCAGTGGCGCAATCTAGGCTCACCACAATCTCCACCTCCCAGGTTCAAGTGATTCTCCTGCCTCAGCCTCCCAAGTAGCTGGGATTACTGGTGTGTACCACCACACCCAGCTAATTTTTGCATTTTTTTTTATTTTTATTTTTTTTGAGACGGAGTTTCACTCATGTTACCCAGGCTGGAGTGCAATGGCGCGATCTCGGCTCACCGCAACCTCCGCCTCCTGGGTTCAGGCAATTCTCCTGCCTCAGCCTCCTGAGTAGCTGGGATTACAGGCACACACCACCATGCCCCGCTAATTTTTTGTATTTTTAGTAGAGACGGGGTTTCACCATGTTGACCAGGATGGTCTCGATCTCTTGACCTCGTGATCCACCCGCCTCGGCCTCCCAAAGTGCTGGGATTACAGGCTTGAGCCACCGCGCCCGGCCTTTTTTTTTTTTTTTTTTTTAAAGATGGGGTTTCACCATGTTGGTCAGGCTGGTCTCGAGCTCCCGACCTCAGGTGATCCGCCCGCCTTGGCCTCCAAAGTGCTTGGATTACAGGCGTGAGCCACCATGTCTGGCCCAATTTTTGTATTTTTAGTAGAGATGGGGTTTTACCATGTTGGCCAGGATGGTCTCAATCTCCTTACCTCATGATCTGCCCGCCTTGTCCTCCCTAAGTGCTGGGATTACAAGCATGAGCCATCCCGCCTGGTCCAAGCTATTCTCCTGCCTCTGTCTCGTGAGTAGCTGGGACTACAGGCAGCTAATTTTTGTACTTTTAGTAAAGAAGAGGTTTCACCGTGTTGGCCAGGCTGGTCTCGAACTCCTAAGCTCGGGTCCACTGGCCTCAGACTCCCAAAGTGCTGGGATTACAGGCACCCGACTCCATTTACAGTTTTTGAAAACTAGCTTACAAAGACACACATAAGGGAATTCATTTCACCATTGCTTACAATAGTAACAAGAGAGAGTGAAACATCACAATTACCCATCAAAAGAGGACAGGTTAACACAATTCCATCAATGCCATGCACTCATTTTCTACGAATAAAGCAGAGCTAAGGGTACTAAAGTGGATAGATGCTTCAGAAAGTGGCTAGGTGAAAAACTAAAGTCACTGCACTGCGTGGTATGTATAATATCTTTTTTAAAAAATTAGGCCAGGCACAGTGGCTCACGCCTATAATCCCAGCACTTTGAAAGGCCACGGTGGGCAAATCACTTGAGGTCAGGCGAGACCAGCCTGGCCAACACAGTGAAACCCCATCTCTACCAAAAATACAAAAATTAGTCAGGCGTGGTGGTGCGTGCCTACAGTCTCAGCTACTTGGGAGGCTGACACACGAAAATTGCTTGAACCCAAGAGGTGGAGGTTGCAATGAGCTGAGATCAGGCCAATGCACTTCAGCCTGGGTAACAGAAAAAGACTTCGTCTCAAAATAAATAAATAATTTTTAGAAATAGTATTTTATTTTTTTGAGACGGCGTTTCATTCTTGTCGCCCAGGCTGGAGTGCAATGGTGTGATCTCAGCTCACTGCAACCTCCGCTTCCCAGGTTCAAACGGTTCTCCTGCCTCAGCCTCCCTGGGATTACAGGTATACGCCACCAGGCCCAGCTAATTTTTTGTATCTTTAGTAGAGACAAGGTTTCATCATGTTGGCCAGGCTGGTCTTGAACTCCTGACGTCAGGTAATCCACCTGCCTAGGCCTTTCAAAGTGCTGGGATTACAGACATGGGCCACTGCATCTGGCCTATTTTTATGTATTTGCAGCACACTTATGTTGGAATACATCAAATATATATATATACACACAAATATATACACATTTGTGTACATATAAACAAGCATGTGTGTATACATACATAAATGATTATGTCATACATATTAAAAGCCTGGAAAGAGTTCCAGAATATCAAACTACTGCCAGTGGTTCTCTCTCAGGGAGGGATTATAGGAGACTAGCATTTCTTAAACTGTTCATTTCTGTAATATTTGAAAAATTTTTGAGATTTGTTCACAATTTTTTCTTTTTTGAAGATGGAGTTTTGCTCTTGTTGCCCAAGCTGGAGTGCAATGGTTCGATCTCAGCTCACCACAACCTCCATCTCCCACCTTCAAGCGATTCTCCTGCCTCAGTCTCCTAAGTAGCTGGGATTACAGGCATGCACCACCACACCCAGCTAATTTTTTGTATTTTTAGTAGAGACAGGGTTTCTCCATGTTGGTCAGTCTGGTCTCGAGTTCCTGACCTCAGATGATCTACCCACCTCAGCCTCACAAAGTGCTGGGATTACAAGTGTGAGCAACCACCCCGGCCTTTTTTTTTTTTTTTTTTTTAGGAGGGGGTCTTCCTCTTGCGCTTTCACCCAGGTTGGAGTGTAGTGACGTGATCTCAGCTCACTGCAACACACGCCTCCTGGGTTCAAGTAATTCTCGTGCCTCAGCCTCCTGAGTAGTTGGGATTACAGGTGCACACCACCAC